GGTGGCTTCCAAGTCACTGGCTAGTGAATTCTGCTGGAACTGCATGGCGGCCTGCAAGGACTCCTCTCCAGAATTATGGAAGGGGCTGCTCCAGGTGTGACTGTTCCAGGCTGGGGGGCACCAGGTCTGACTGTTCCAGGTGTGGCTACTCCAGGACTGGCTGTTCCAGGTCTGGTTGTTCCACCCGGGAAGGTTCCCGGATGTGTTCACCAGGCATCCCTGGTGGTAGGGCGAGTAGAGACCTGGGTAGGTGTGTGCTGAGACCTTTTGAAAGAGAAGGGTGGATTAAAAAGGTACAAGGAAAACCAGAACTGTCTGTGGTTGGAGTTGGATGCTCTGGGGAAGGACCAAACTCAAAGTTCACTGAAGACCGGATGCAGTGGCTCACGCTTGTAATCCCAGAACTTTGTGGGAGGCTGAGGTGGGCAGACTGCTTGAACCCAGAAATTTGAGACCAGCCTGGGTAACATAGCAAGACCTGGCCTCTATAAAAGAAAAAAAAAAAAAAAGCCAGGCTCGGTGGCTCAACCTGTAATCCCAGCACTTTGGGAGGACGAGGCGAGTGGATTGCCTGAGCCCACGTGTTCAAGACTAACCTGGGCAACTTGGCAAGACCTTGTCTCTACAATAAAAATAAAAAAATTTAGCCGGGCGTGGTATCATGTGCCTGTAGTTCTGGTTACTTGGAAGGCTGGGGCGGAAGGATCACCGGAGACCTGCCCAGCAGGTAGACGCTAGCGTGGCTGGGAGTCTGCCATGGCACTTCAGCCTGGGCGACGGAGTAAGACTCAAACTCAAAAAAAAAAAGAGAGAAAAAAACTAGCTGAATGTGGTGACACGTCTGTAGTCTCAGCTACTTGGGAGACTGAGGCAGAAGGATCGCGTAAGCTCAGGAATTTGAAGCTACCATGAGCCATGATCATACCACTGCACTCCAGCCTGGGTGAGAGATCCCAACTCAAGAAATAAAATAAACTAAATAATGATGATAAAGATAAAAAGTCAAAAAGGAAAGAGCAGAACAGTGGGTTTCCTGTTACCTGGGCCACACTGTAGCTGTTCTTTGGCCAGCTGCTTTTCTGCCACCTCTTAGACTTCATTCTCTGGTTCTGGAACCAGGTCTTCACCTGCAGAAAAAAGTGACAGGAATTATTAAACACTAGTAATGAAGTAATACTTTGAATTAAAAAAATATTCTTTAAAAGTTTCTTATTTTAGGCCAGGCTTGGTGGCTCAAGTCTGTAATCCCCCCACTTTGGAAGGCCGAGGCGAGTAGATTGCCTAAGGCTGCAGGTTTGAGAAGTTTGAGACCAACCCGGGCAAGTTGGGGAGACCTTGTCTCTACAATAAATAAATAAAAAATTAACCAGGCAGGGTAGTGTGAGCCTGTACCTCTGGCTACTTGGAAGGCTGAGGTAGAAGGATCACCGGAGCCCAGCAGGTCAAGGTTGCGGTGGCAGGGAGCGGCCACTGAACTCCAGTCTGAGACTTCAACTCAAATAAAAAAAAAAAAAAAGTTCACGGGCTAGAAAGTTCACA